TTCCTGCACCTTCTCAGCAGGATAAAAAGTGCAACTGAGCACAGTGCCACCATGCTCCAGATCCACCCACAACCCATCAGCCACTGGAGCCCACAAAATCAGCTCAGGTTGTCAGATGACTCCGAAGAAACATTTTAAAAGGACCTCACTGAAGTCCTCCAATTTTATTTAGATAAAAATCCCGTACAATTCAGAGCACTGAAGAGCTACAATTGTTTTTCAAACAGAAATACCAACATTTATTTATCACGATGTGCTCAAAAAAAACCCCAAACAACTCTAGCTCATGTACTGCTTTGGGTAGACAGTATTTCATTGATAAGCTTTATTAAAGAAGAAATTATGCAATGAAGAATAATGCTCTTCATCATATCCACAAGCAAGATGTGAAGAAAGGACAGAAGCTCAAGATTATTTTTGACTTGCAAGGCAGAATTTTTCAGACCTGCATGGGGGAAGAGATGGACATCAGTCACTCTGTTCACACCTTCAACTGTAATTGTTTTCAGAAAAAAAAAACGCACTTTCCACAAGGGAACTCTGACTGCAGAGTCCCAGCTGCAGGCAGATCAACCCACCTTCCAATTATATTCAACCCTCGGTGGGGGTTCAGAGTTCAACAAGCAATCCTCTGCCAAGACGGTCCTTGCTCTCCACCCCTAGCACCAGCTGCATGGATATTCTCCCTTTATCCTGGTCTCAACTCCTCCACCCCAGCTCAGTAAATCCTTGTCCCCAGACCCTAGCAAGTCACGAATGTCCCACCTCCAATGCAGCCTGGCACCCCTCACCATCCTGACCTTCACACCACCACTCCCCCCCAAAGGCACTGCATGCCATGCTGCCGCGTGGGCACAGCACACCCCATCCCTGCTGCCCAAAGGCAAGTGACAAACCACAAGAGCAGCTGTATATAATTTTCAGAGTTCTGTTACCCAGAAGTGTCTGTCCTGTATCAAATTATGGGTCCACGTACCTCAGCATCCTGCCCCAAGTGGCAGCCAGAAGCAAACCCTTCAGCATTTACAGCATCCCTTCTAAATCCCCTTCCAATACAACCACTGCTGGCTCCTGGGATCTCTTGAGCCTTTCCCCAGCCCACAATATCACACCTCAGCTTTTCTGCTGCAAATTAAAGAGTGTATCTTGCCCCCCACGAGAAAGATGATCAACTGACCCTCATTTTCTCTTGTCCCTGAAAGCCTAACACGCCTCCAAGCCTTCGTTGCTTTACAGCAAGGGCAGGCTGGAGCGCTTTAGAGGGACAGCAGCATCAAACAGCGAGAACTAAAGAACTCTGGTCCATCTACATCTTCCCAAGAAGAAATGCCCAAGGCAGTTTTTCTGATTTACAAAGTTTGACTCGTGATTCGGTCACCATCTGGTCTGATGTGAAGGGCTTTTCCAGTGGGGTCTTGCCAAGGCTTGTCCGGGGCACAGTTAATAATTATCCAGCCTCTACCAGGGTACGTAACTATGGCGTTTCAACCAGCATTGCAGCTATGCCAGCTAGGCTACATGTCTTTAGTTTTCTTTTCCCTATCAAGGGTTAAACTACTACTTACCTGATTGCTAAATCCAGATCAGTTTGCCCAGGTAGTCTGAAGAACCCAGAGCCCTCAGACTGCGAGATACCAGTGAATAAAACCACAACTGCTTCAGGTTTGGCAGCAAGGCATCTATTTGTGCCTCATAAATCCCACATTACTGAGCCACCACACTGCCTGCCACAAGGCCAACCAGCCTGCCTCCCCCCAGGTCACAGGGATTCCCAGCTATGGCAACTTCCTCCTCACTGGACAGAGGAGAGGGTCTGGGGAAGCACCAGAGGATATGTGACAACTCCAAATGATATCTGGCAGACACACCAAAGACATCCAGGGAAGTTTTGCTCCAACAGGCTCATTTCTTTTGAGCAACAGAGACTCTTGTAGGCAAGGTATGGCCGATAACTGGCCAAAACAGCGGCTAGAAAGGGTGTGGGAACAGCCCCACTCCCAATCAGTGGCAACACTATATATATTATTTTGGTAGGTGGTTCCTTTTGCTCCTCAACTCTGTAAGCTACACACAGAAAAGCACTCCATGTTCTCTTTATCAGCATAGCACGGAGCACCAGCCTAACTCACCGTGGTTATTCCAGACTCAGCTTAGAAGTCTTCATCTGCAAGAAAGAAGAGCAGAGTGTTAAGCTTCAGGTCAAACAGCACGCCTTCTCTCCTGTCACACCACAAGCCCACCCCTGCTGGAACCAGCCCCACCACTTGGCTGTGTGCTTGCTGTAGCAGGCTGGGTCACCACCATCAGTCCCATCCTTCTTTTTAGTCACCAAAAATAAAGCCAAAAGTCACAGCATGACCCATGTCTTTCTAGGCAAGTTCACCTAGAAAGAGATCAGAGTGCTCCACTAAAGTCATCAGGCATAGCACAGCCAAACACCTACAGGTCACACCAAGGCAAGCCTGCCCCATCTGCGACTAATAAACCCTTTCACAGCTATGTGCACACAGCCTTTCCAGCAGCCCAGCTGGAACCAAGTTGATTTTCCATCTATAGCACAAGAGCTTCAAAATCCACCCCATTAGAGCACCCTGTTTCCCAAGAAGGGGAACAGAGACACTAGACATAAACGAATGGTCTCTGGCTTCTACAAGCGAACAGCAGCAAAGCTTGAAGAAGAAGGTGGCACACGATACCCCATCGGAAATCCTGTGGCTTGCCAAAGACAGCGTGGTCCACCCTGCAAACGTAGATGTCGCCCTTCCTGGGGGTGAACGGCACGTAGACCAGGCGCTGGAAATACCACTTGTCATTGAAGGACATGTCTGCATACTGCACGCCGCTCATGGGCTCCCCATTCTTCAGGAAGGAAATGTCGATCTTCGGAGGGTGGAAACCACTCACGAAGCAGTTGAGGGTGTTCTCCACCCCGTGCACGGCACGGTTGCGGGAGTACACCTCCACCTTCGGTGCCTCTGGAGAGGAAGGCAAAGGGGTAGTGAGA